TCATGTCCTCTAAACTACAACAGAATGGCAAGTAATGGAAATAAATTTTAAGGCACTATTATTAATTTAATGATTTTTTTTTTGTCATTGATGGTTTTACTCTGAAGTGAAGACAGGGTGGAAACCTGCTCCTTGCTCACAGCGGGCAGAAATCACAGATGCTATTCAACATCTTACGATGCTCCCGAGAGCGTACCACTGCACCAGCCATAATGCATGGCAGAATCACTTAGCCCAGAATGTGAATAGTACCAAGGTTCAGAAACATTACTACTGAACCTGCTCCAGGCATGGATTTCTGTTTCAGGGAATGTTTTATTTATACATCACCAAGATAGTGAAATTATCAATAAAATAAGAACTCAGAAATAGCACAATGGGCAAGATGTCTGAGGTGGTGCTGTATGAGGATCAGGTAGGAATCTTGAGTCTGTCCTCGCGCTATTGAGACACTGGGCAGGTCGTTTAGCCTCTCAGAGTTTTTCATGCTTTTGATGAATGCCTTCCCAAAGGTCTCCATGCTAAAGACTTGGTTTCCTGGATGGCATTATTAGAAGCAGCTGTGCACTTACTTATCATCAGTGTGTTCTTTTGGGAGGGTCTTAGACCAATGTGTATCGTCTCTGTTTTCGGAAAAGTGAGGTGAAATTTCTTCCACTATGTGTACGTTCACCAGAAGAGACTCAGAAACAAATGAGTCTGCTCAATCTTGGACTGAAAAATCCCAGACTTGTGAACCAAAGCAAATTTTCCTCTCTTACAAGTTGGTAAAGTTAACTGCTTCAGATGTTGAATACCAACCTCCTGATGCATAAGCTTAAGCACACTTTTTTTCTCTGTGTTAGTGCATTGCTTTTCTCTGTGTTAGTTAATTGTCTCAGGTATTTCAGGAGATTCAAAGAAAACTGACTAGGAGAATGATGATAAGAATTTCAGTCACGAGTACCTCAATTGACTTGATATACAATATCAAAGGGAAAAATCTATGAGGGCTAGCTCTCCTTAATAAGCTCGTGGGTGGGAAGGTAGGGGTCCTATGCATTTGGAACTCCTTATCATTCTTCATTTCTTAAAGGGCTGGCTTTCACCTGAAAAGTTCGTAGGGTACCATGACCAGGATCCTGGCAGTCCCGGTGGTACAATGGCCACCCACTCACAGTGACAAGTGAATCGTGAACAATCCTATTCAGCTGAGCCTCACCGGGGGCCCAGAGCCAGGGTTAACATTAATTCCCCACGTTCTACTCACCTTTCACCTTCCCTCCCTTGTCCTTACCAAGGCATTGTGTAGAGAGAGCAATCAGAGGCTTTATAAGGCGTATTTGTCAGTGCCTAGATGATAGCTCCGAGCTGATTCCCTTTTTATTTCCCTCTCCTCTTCCTTAGCCTTTCTATTTTCAGGTTCAAAGGAAGAAGTCACTTTTGAGTTCAATCCCCCAGAATCAAGTGATAGAAGATCCCAATTGCTATAGAACTATTTCCATCTTGGTTACTCACTGATTCACAAAGAACCGAGGCTGCATGTTCTGGCCCCAGCTGGGCTCTCAATATTTCACAGTAGGATGTTTCCGTAAGGCCAAGAAAACGCCTATAAATGACTGTGGAATGATTCAAGAGATGACCCATTCATCCTGTTTTTCAGTTGACCCCTTTGGATGTGTTGAGCAGGAGTGACTCGCAAGAGTGTGCCCTCGGAATCAAGCAACTGCAGTGACAAATTGGGAGAAGTTACTCTACATTAAAGAACGGCCCCCTTAACGTACATGAGAGCACTCTGCTGTCATGGGGAAGACAACGTGGGCTCACTGTGTTAATATTTGTTTTCTTCCTTAAATGTAAATTTTCTCCCCCACTTTTCTTGACAACTACCTTTGTGTGGCTACTAAAACTGATCTTAATGGTGAGATGCTCTGGAACTTTCTTAATAGCTGCTGGTCATTTGCCATTGTCAATATAACATAATGATTTGGGGAAAAAGAGGACATGTCAATTTATTTTAATTTTTTTGGAGAAATTATGTCAAGATTAGATAGATTGGTGACTTTGCTGCTTTCTCAGACACAGAGACTATTGTGGTTCCAAGTTTAAAATAAACTAAACTTTTTAATATTGTGGTAATGGTTCCTTAAGTTTAGTTAAATGCATTCTTTCAATCTCATAAGAGGGAAATTAAGATCCATGAGACTGTTAGGAAGTCTTATAAGACTTTTGAAATATAATATGGCTGTAAAGAAAGAAATTGATCTAGGGCAATTCACATTTATGGTTATGCACTGTTAAAATCATCTCATCATCACTATGGGGTCAAGATTAAAAAAAAATATGGGATCTAATTGGGAAGAGGGTAACCTTGTCTTCATTTTGTTCTTCAGTTACTATGTAATCATAGGCTGGCAACAGAACCTGCCTGAGTGTATTATTTTGATTTGAACTGGAGAATAGAAATATCTAGTTTACCCAACTCATAGGCTAGCAAATAGTCAAAATGAATCATGTGTAAAGTGAGCATGTCTAGTAATTTAGCTATCATTTATTGTCTACTTACATTATCATCTAGCCTTTTGTTGAGATTTCACATGTGTTCTTCTCACTGAACCTGCCAATGACTCTGAACGTATCACTACATCTATATCATCAGGATTGCAAACCAGAGGGGTGGTGAGTCTCAGTGCTTCGTGGAAAGTCTGGAACTAGATAACCAGCAAAATAAATACAAGGGGAAATAAATGAGCAGTTCTGAAGAAGGAATCTGATGCATTCCCAACACTAAATTCATCATCAGAGGAGAAAAATCAGAACTGTTAGAAATTCTTTCCCTTATTTCATGGTTCACTGTTATTTTATCTTGAATTATATGTGGGGAAAGGCATCAAATATTTCAATACTTGGGCATTTCAAGGTCTTAATCCAGTTGCCTGAGACATACAACTAATAAAAAAGAAAAAGTTCTCAACTCATCAGGTGTCTCTAAGGCACATACTGCTAACTGCAAGGCTCTACCCTAACAACAATAATAGCATTTATTACAGCTGCATGAGAGTTACCAGTGATGCTAACAGTCGTCAGGGCAAGTTCTGCCATTAAAGACAGGTTTATCCTGCTCTGAAAGCCTGTGGGAGGCAACCCATAATTTAGAACTAACGACAAAAAGGGAGAGGTGTGCACCAAGGGTCACCGGTGTTCTTAGGTATCTGTGACTTTAAAATGACCACCCCTATGCTTTCTCATTGCTGGCCACACATGTGAAAATTCTCCATTGACTCTGAGCAAGGAGTTAGCATCAACTGAGGAATCTTTGAAGTTCTTCCCAGAGACACAACAAACCTCACAGCAGCAATTTTAGTGTCAATGGTAATATGCATAGAGAAAGGAAGATGGATTTTCTTTTTTTCTATGAGCAAATAAATGAACAGCTTTTAAGGTCTCTGGTATTTCACTTCCTCTTCCCTCCTCTTTTGACCATCACATATCCCAGGGTTTAAGGAAGAAACACTTGAAAATAAAGTCTATGCATGTCCAGGGAATGTGGCTGTTGACAAAAAGTTGCAGCAACTCCTAGCACCTCTGGCTCTATCAGATGATCAAAGATAATTTCAGGAGGTTAATTTTTATGACAATCTAAAAAATCCTACCAGAACTCCATCACTGGCTGAGCTGGCTGTTGGGGAAAATCCAGGATGACAGATATGTGAGTAGATAGGGTAATTGATTAATTAGTGTGTTTATTGCTTCGGTGCCTTGGGACAATTGCTTCCATAACTCTTAAACCAGGAATGAGAAGAATCTGGATATTAAAGAAGATCCAAGCAGCACACTCTATTGATCAGCTTTTAAAATGTAACACTGATTTAAGGCATGAAACCTCAATCGTTGCCTTTAAGCTACTGAGAAAATTATCTTGGGCCACAAGTATACAAGTTTATGGTGAATATTTCTTTCAGGCCTGATAATTATTAACTAAAATGCCCAGAATCCTGAAAATGTAATTTAAGCTTCATCATCAGTGTGCTCATCTTGGTGTTGAAGAAGCGAGAGAAAACAGACAAAAATGGGGGAAATCGGAGCATCATACAGTGAGTTAGACATGCATCCCGTTCACATTAGTGGAAAGTGCCATCTCCTACGCTATTTTCTGTCATCTGTCCATTAGGTCGCAATGCAATTATGGAGTAAAAGCCCCTCGCTGGGTATTCTCCCTTCTCTTTTTAGGACTTTCATGGCAGGGCTCAGGACTCTTGGTAGGAGACTGGAAAGATGAGAGAGGAAGCTAAGGGACTATTTGAATGAGTTTCTCTAAAGAAGCAACCTTCTCTCTCCCTGCCCTTGGTTTGCCATCTGGTTCTGGGATTTTGCTGCTGCACACTCCAGGGCTGTGAAATTCAAATGCATGATTAGCCCCTCTTTCTCCCATGCCAGCGTGCTTCCTAGGAAAATCACTGCTAGGACCAGACTCTAAAGAGCAACACAGGCTTAGTGTGAGCAAGAGAAAATCACTTGGCAAATTCAAATAAATAAAAAACTCTACTCTTGATTCTTCTCACTGCTCCCCTGAGTTAATGCTCATGAATTCAAGTTTAATAAACTTGCTGCTCTATTCTCTCTGCCACCTCTTGCCATCTGTCCCTGCAATCACACCTAACAATATAGCACCACATCGACTGGATATCTCATCCATTATCTTATGATTATCAACAATCCCCCAGAACAAGGGTGATGTCCCTTTCTTCCACTAGAAACCTTATAATATTTACCTTCAATATGAACCAGTGAGGCAGCATTGCTTTATCAAATCATTTACAAATCAAAATATTCAGTGCATAGTCAGTAAGTCTCCAGAAGCCACTTACACTGCCCTAATGTTAAAAAAAATAACTTTCTTTCTCAGTCAAAAGGCATTGACATATTCTTTGCCTATAAACTGGCATCAGTCATGAGAAAAGATGTCATGGCTGTCATAGGTATCAGAGGTGATTTGGGAAGGCCAAAAGAGAAGATGTTACCTGTAGGATAATGTTCATTCACTGGCCAGTTGTCCACCTGAAGTGTGGCATTGCCGCCATTTCTGGTAAAGCGCACCACGTGGTATTTGCCGTCATTGACAGGGGTCCTCTCTTCTTTGATGGAGATGTCCACGGTGCCGATATTGAAGACAACTCCAATTTTCCCTTGTTCCTGTAATAAAGAAATACAAAGGGCATGATTGTCACTGACTGCAGGGTTACTCCCTTTAAAGTTGATCCTCCAACTAGCAATAAACTTGTAGGTGCCCGGAGGGAGCTGTCAGTATGAAGCTAATAATAGTATCCTATATTTCTCCATGGGCTTTCATCCTGAACATAAAAAAAAATAATATAAAGCCACCCAAATTGTTCTCACTGCCTGAACAGTACAAGTTACAGCATCAATGGCCGTCGGTGAATATCGATGTTAGTGTGACAAAAATCTCGACAGTGAAGCCCTCTACAGTGAACATCATTTCTGAGAGAGGGATTGGGTCTGTCTTTTAAAAGAAGTTAGTAGAATTATTTCACAATTAAGATTCAGGATTAAAGAGAACCTATGAGCCTGCCTTCCCATTTTGGAATATTCAAGGTAAAGGGGAGGTGTACCAAAATCTTAGAATCCAGTGTCTAAGAAATTGATATCATAGACCAGGTCCTTGATGCTTTCTGGGGCTCTAAGTCACACTCAAAAGGTATTTTGCACAATGGGCAATGAAATTGTGCAGGAGTTTTCAGAACTGGTGACTATCAATCTTCCCAGATTTCTAGCCCTATTGTTCAGTTAATCTAGAGATAAAATATATTCTGGAGCTTTTGCTACACAGTAGAATGTACCATTGGTAGTTCAAACTGACTTTGGAGGCAGAGAAATTGCAATGGATTCTAGAAGACAGACATTGTGGCAATGGATAGGAAGATGATGGAAATGATGGGGGTGGAGATGAGATCATCCACCTCCAGAAAAAATGCCCGGAAATGCTGAACTATACGTCAAAATGCTATTATAACTCTTTCTCTTACAGCCTAATAATTGGTTATGACTAAGAGTTGGAATTGGTATTCACAATGAAACAAAATGAAAGTGGCCTTCCTGGTCAGATACAATCAACTTCTTTCAACCTCCTGGAAGAACAAGTCAGCTCGGGAGAGTATCAGCATGGACAGAGTAAGAGAGAAGGGCAAATATTTTTTCTCCGTCTCTCTAGTTGCCTGGCTTATTGGCACTAGGCTGGGCACTTGGTAGTAATAAAATTTAGTTGTCATTTTGATATTTACAAATCTGAGTCACAGGATTTCTTCATCAGCTTCTTATTCACTATTCTTTTGTTTGAGGAGTGGAAGGAAGGAGAAATGAAAAATAGTACAGTTAAAGAACAGAATTCACACTACTTAAGTTCTAGGAAATTTTTATAGATGCTCAGATTTAATATTCCTTCATTCACTCTTTAATTCATTCACTCAATACACAAATGTATTCTTAAGCACTTAGTATACCTATAAATTAAGATTTCTTGCAGAATGGATACTGGTTTCCATATATTTTGGTGCAATTAATTTAGTTTCCAATGAGGTATGCTTTCTTCAACTTACCATTTTTTTGTCCTTTCCTATGGAGATACATCTCACACCTGATTAAGTAAATAACCAGCACCCGAGGGTCTTGATTTTAGAAGGGAATAATATAGATGGACTGATGAATCATGTTGTCAGAACTCAGAAGAGCAGACCCAGGGTAGACATTATTGCTTTTTTTTTTTTTTTGTGCCCACAGAGTTTGTTGCATGACATAAACAATTGCCTGTATTTCTAATTTTGTAAACCTTGTGAAAAGTGTTCCAGTGCCTTCCCACATGACGACTAAACAGACTCATTTCTGTTTATTGGTATCAGTGTGATCTTGGATTTGCTTTGGTTTGTTTCAACTCTCTATTTAAAGAACGTACCTAGCCCTGGGAATTATTGATGTAATAATGGTCACTATGATAGTGTCTTTATTACAGTGTTCATGGTCATAATGAATCATATTATGATAGAGTTCAACTTTTTTTCTCTGATCCTCAGGGAATCTGGCAAGAACATAACGCATTTGTTCTGTCTTGGAGAGGTGGCGTTCATTATTCATTTCTTTAAGGATGTGGGAAAGAATGGGTAGGTGGGTGTTCATGCCCTCATGGGGAAACAAGCAAGAGTATAAAAGCCTGAATCAGCACATATTTACAGGATGACAGAACTGGAGGAGTTAAAAAGCCACAACTTGAGAAGCCATTGCTCCTCTGCCCACCCTCCATGCATGGGCTGTTTATTGAGTTGCGGTTCTTCCTTTGAGAAACTACTACACCAATCCCGTATGCGTGGAAAAGCCTGCTCGTGATTCATCTCAGCTGTGAGTCACTAATTAATCATGGCTCGAGAACAGTGTTATCGTTCTAAAGGGAATGGAGACCTCAGCGCTCGGCAGCTTTCAATGACAGTGGGGGCAAAGGACAGTTCTGGCTCACGGAGTTCGTTGATGGGCAAGATATATTCTTGGGCAGATTTTCTGCAAGATCTATAATAGATTCAGGACAAGAAAAGATTTAATCTCTGCCAGAATAAATATTTGGTCCTTATCTTAAGTGCCACACATTTGCCATTAGAGTCGGGCCATTCAAAGGATCCTAATCCTGTCAGCACATTGCCAAATGCAGTGTAGACCCTATCCCCAGACTGTTTCTCTTTGCTTCTCGCAGTGGGAAATGTGACTGTGCTAGACCTTGGATGCGGTCGCTTTATTCGCAGTAATAAGACTTCATTATCATCATTTCCTTGTCATTTGTCATGGGACCACAGTGGCATTGTAATCCATGGCTAACTGCTTCGTTGCAGTTGATTAGACGTCACGGAAGCCTTGTGGCAAATACCCATATAGTTGCCCAGGCTTGAATTGATCATAGCAGCTGCCATGAAAATAAATTCCCGTGGTTCACGTGTCTACAGGAGGGAAGACGTGAAGGAAAAACACATTAGCTTCAAGTCATCTCCTATACCACCCCACCCTGACCTTGTGGCAACTTACTTAACTATTCTGAACCTATTATTTTACCACTTTCCCATTCTTCAAAGGACTATTATAATGAAATAATATGGGTTATGTGATGAACACTGCAGTAGTTGGCTTTCTCTTTTACTAATATGTATGTGTGCATATGTGTGTATATGCACAGTATAGAAGCTGGAAGACAGCCTCAGCTATTCTCTCTGACACAGAGCCTCTCAGTGGCCTGAAGCTTACCCATTAGGTTAGACTGGCTGGACAGTGTGCTCCAGAGATCTTACTCCTATGCACTGTGGTACAGATACATGTCATCATGCCTGTTGTTATTTTCTTAATGTGAGTACTAGTGATTAAGGCAACTGCTCTACAAACTGAGCCATTCTATCATCCCTACATAATAGTATTTTCTAAGTTAAAAATATATAAAAATATGAGATAGATGAAAATGGGGGGGGACTGTGTAGTCATTTTCCCATAAAAAATGACCTGTCATTATTAGTGAATTTAATTAGTTCAGTAGGATGATCGTGCATGGGTTTTTAGCACAGTACAGTAAAATACCACCTCTAATTTATTAATAATAATAAAACTGCATGACCTTTGCAGTTTACTTATAAAAGGGCATGTGATGAGAGGGAGGGGCAAATTGCTGCCCCCGAAGCCTGCTGTGTGGATTACGTGTGAAGCAGCTGCCACACGGCTATGCATACTTCCAGGTTGCAATATGTCACTCCTTTCTCTTCTCATTAGTGTAATTGGAAGTAGTAGTGTGAGCTAAGGCCTGCTTGGTTTGGCAGGCATTGCCATCAAGATCTATTGTGAAAATAAATATAAATTTTTGCAAACAGAACTTTTTTTCAGGGTTGATTTCCTGTCACAATTTTGGAGTTGCTTTCTTGCCACATTTTTGGCACCTTTTATAAGCCTTTTGAACACAAGAAAATGTAGTTGCAGAAACAACGTGGCTATAAATTTTAATAACTCCATACCCTTTACCACCAAAGCTGGTACCAAGGCAATCGCTCCAATCTGTGTTCTTTCTTGATATTAAAAACAAAGACAAGTGGTAAATCAGAAGACATTACCAATCATTTTCAAGTGCATTCAGGAGGAAACCTGAATGGTACAGAAACATCTGCTTTCCACAGTGAGTAAGTCATTCCTTATCAATAATGACTATTTATGAGCCCACCTGGTCCTTCAAAGGAGCCTAGATTCAGCTACCTGATCCTCCTCAATCAGCCACATTATGATTAATATGGCCTACATAACCCCAGGGATGCTATAAGCTCTAGGGTGAGGACTTAGGAGCAGAAATATACAGGGACAAAAGACAATTTTCAGGAATGAAGGAGGAGCTCCCTGATGGCCATCTCTTCATTTCTTCCACAATGCCTCTAAGGAAGGCGACATGCACCATCCCCTACTTCAGAACATTGCAGCTGACAGAAACAAAACAGCGCTTCCCAAACGTATGCCCAGGAGATGTTCACTGGAAACAGCTTTCCATGGTGCCACAGTTCGACTTCTCACAAAATTGTCTGTTCAGTAATAGACAATAACACGATAAAGCCACGTGTAAATGATGCTTCTGTGCCTATGCACAACAAGACCTTAGCAATATTCCAGTCCACTTTCTACTAAAAAAAAATAGTTAATGGTACTATTCACTCTATTCTTCTAGTTTTCCTAATTAGAGGCTCATAGTAAGAGCAACCTTTTGCATTCCTTTGTGATGGACAGGCCCAGGAGTTCAGGGTCAATAATTGTCATTGTTCAGTCATATATATAATTTCTGGTATGAGACTTGCCAGTGCCCTCCCAGTGCTGTGAATCACAGTCCCCAGAAAATTCTTAGTCGTGGTTGCTTTGTCATTTTGGGTCGCTGAGTGAGGGTGGTAGCAAATTAAGTTACAATGGACACGGCTGAGGAACATTGCTTGTGTGCTTTGAGTACAGAGTGTTCTAATCTACCACTGCGTCATGACAGTCACATCCTGCATACTCAGTATATATTTTTAAATAGGATTGTCTCATAATTTCTCATAATTTCCTATTATTGAATATATGTGACAAGAGTGTTTAAGGCCAGACTCTAAGTAGGTCTGACTTGAACTTAGGGGTTCTCCACTGAG